AGGATCCAAGAGAGTATAGTTTAACGGGATCCAAGCCTACACATCAAACAAAGTGCAAGACTAGTTGCTAGAAGATCTCAGGCTCTTTCTCACAGGTTAAAGACTCCGAGCCCCTGACATTGGCTCTTAGCTTCAGAAAATGGCCCTCTGTGTGTCATGTGGCAACTAGGGCTCCATGGGAGAGTTTGCCCTAGATCTGGGGTGCAGCCTGGGTCGCAGTGTCTAAGACACAGGTCCCAGACAACCTCAGCCCAGCATCCCTAGAATAAACGGAGGCGGGTTTGCTCAAATTGCCCTCTCCACTTGGAAAGCCCATCCCCAATCCCAAATCACTGCTGTCAAAGTCTTATACATCCTTCAAGGTTCTGCTCCAATGCACCTCCTCATGAAGCCCTTCTACAGATGGTCTCCCTTCCTGTGTGCCTATGGGACCGCCTATCTGTGGTTCCATCCTGAGTTAAAGGCAACAGTATACAATGCTATTCCCCTCAGTTGGCCAGTTGCTTCCACTGGGAAGTTCTAAAGTTGCTGTCAAGTTTTATCCTCCAAGTCTGTAGCCACATGAGACAGTGAGCTGTGTCCATCAAAATGGCTTGGATGACCACTCTGAACATGCACCTCGGTGGACACAGAGGGGCCAAGGGTTTGAGGAAAGCAGAAAGGGGAGACAACGGAGGGTGTGGGCCCCTGTATGACCCTCCTTAGCTCCTCCCAGCCCCGAGGGAGGCTCTCTGGAATTGTGTTTTCCCTCTCTGTTTTGGGTTGAGTCTGTGTTTAGTCCCTGGCGGGGATGGCATTATTTTCCTCAAGGTTTCAAGGGGGTTGAACAGCGTTTCATATTTCTCTGTTTGGCAAATAGTTAGTCCCCTGCCTCCCCTCCCAGGAATCAGGAATCCCAGAAATTAAAGCCGGAGGGACTCAGGTTTCTTTCTGAGGCGAGGCCGCTGCAGCAGATGCCAGTTGGACCCAGGAAATAGCCAAGGGGTGGGGGGCACCAGGTCTTGAGTTTTCTGGTAGGCAAGGGAGGGTACAGCCATGGATAAAATGCCGTGGCACTGTAGAGGGCAGGTTTGGGCTCCCTGCCTGGAGCAGAATAATCTTTCTTTCAAAGCTGAGTTGGAGTGAGCAAGGACCAGCGGCAGCCATTCCACTCTGTGCTGTGGGCACGTTTCTCTTTGGGTAAAGGGGAGACAGAGCTTTCCATGCTGGAGAAGGGGATGGGAAGGAGCAAATCCCAGCAAAGGGAAGCAGGCCCAGCCCAGATGCCAGCAGAGAGGGAGCAGGAGCAGGAGGAGGGGATGGGAATGAGCCAGGCTTCAGCACAGAGGCTGGGAGATGGCAGGCGGGCGCTTGCGCGCAGAGCAGAACTGACACCTGGATCTCAGCTTGCTTCCCCCGGAGAACACTTTAATGAGGCTCACAGCTGTAATATCACAGAACAAGCGTTAACAATGCTAATTACCTGAAGTTTAGCCCGAACATTCCTAACCCACCCACCTTGGGGACACACTGTTGTTCTGGCCCTGCTAAAAGCGCTGATGGTTCAAAACATGGACTGAGGCTTATGACGCAGATGTGACAGCAGAACACCAAGGCAGGCCTGGGTGGGGGCAGGTAGGGTAGTGTGTGCTGCAGGCTTCAGGGATGCCCAGGAATGGACAGAGTGTAACCTCCTGGTCATGATACCAATGTCCCTCTGCTCTTCTTAAGAGTAACCCAAGGGAGAAGCCCCAAGTGGAGATCAGACTCCCTTGGCAAAAGCCGGGAATGGGCTACGTCCATTTGTGCATGGCAGAGGGTCACGGGACTGAGGTGACCTCCCATCATCACTCTGCACAACCTCAGAAGACACCCCTGTGCCCTTCCCACCATCTAGCCCCAAAGATGGTTTCAAACTGTTGCATGTTTTTTGAAGCAGCAGAATCACCAATAGAAGACGCAGATCAAATTGGAGCTGTGCTGGTCACTGGTTTCAGTTGAAAGCTGGAGCTCAAGGCTCTAGGACTTCCTTCCACCCCTGTCCCTCGAGACCTCTGGGCATCCCCAAATCACTCGCAGAATCCTAGGCCTCTGCAGAATCTGCTTGGAAAACCACTGTTCTAGAACAACATAAACCTCTGGCCTCATCGTGTCTGGGATTAAACCATGCCATTCCAAGGCACTGCATGGAAACACACTTTACCAGACACCCCAGAGGGCTCCTGACTCAGGCCAACTCTGGGGGCTGGAAGACAGGCGTGAGCATCTGGTGTGTGTACACCTCGATCTACATGGCCCCTTCCCCAAAACTGCCAAGTTAGGGCTGATTTTATAGAAACTCTAGAAACTCACGCCTGTATCTATAAAGTCAAATGTCACCTAGTCAGATAAGACAAGATCTAGAACTTCGGATTCCTCTCTCAGTAGCCTTTCTGCCAAGCCAGGGAGGGGAAACCATATTATATCTCTATCGCAACCCCACCCCTCAGACTCCCACTACTGCCGGGTGTTGAGCCACTCATCAACATCTTATCCCACGGTCCCTTCTTCCTAGGCCTCACCACCTCGCTCTGCCACCATTCCAAGCCTTTGCCTCTCCCCCAGGGAAAAAGCAGAGGAAGGCCGTTCTGCTCTGTGTTTGATTGAATGTAACTTGGATCCCTCCAGTTTTCCCCGCTGATAGTTTGGATGTGTGTTCCCGCCAAATTCCGTGTTGAAATGTGATCCCCAGTGTTGTAGGTGAGGCCTAATGGGAGGTGTTTGGGTCATGGAGTGGGGGGATCCCTCATGAATAGCTTTGTGCCCTCCCAGTGGTAGGTAACGACTGAGTTCTTGTTCTGTTGGTTCACACTAGAACTGATTGTTAAAAAGAGCCTAGGACCTCCCTCTGTCTCACTCCTTCCCTCGCCATGTGGCACACCTGCTCCTCAATTGAAAGCTTCCTGAGGTCCTCACAAGAAGCTGGTGTTGGTGCCATGCTTCTTGTATAGCCTGCAGAACCTTGAGCCAAATAAACCTCTTTTCTTTACCAATTACCCAGCCTCAGGTATATCCTTTAGTAAACGTAAAATGGACTAATACCCCTTCCCTCCTCCATCCCTCTGACTCGGCAATGTCAGTTTCTGGTCTGCGTTATAATAGTTAACTTTGTCAGGCCCACCAGAACATGGCACGTTTACTGCCTTCTCAAAAGCCTTCTCAGAAATTGGTGAGATAAAACTGTTTTCGTCTGTTTGGGCTCCTGTAGCAAAGTGCCATAGACTGGGTGGCTTATCAACAATCAGCCAAATTTATTTCTCACAATTCTGGAGACTGGAAAGTCCAAGATCAAGGTGCCAGCAGATTCGGTGTCCAGCAAGGGCCTGCCTCCTGATGGACAACCACCTTCTCCAGCTTCACATGGTGAAGGGGTAAGGGGTCTGTCCTGGGCTTCCTTTATAAGGGCACTAATGCCATTCATGTGGACTCTGCCCCCCATGACATAATCACCTCCCAAAGTCCCTGCTTCTAATACCGTCACCCTGAGGGTGGAGATTTCAACATATGGATTTTGGGGGACATAACATTCATAGCATAGCAGACCAGGATGCAATGCCGGGTTCCCTGGGGTTAAAGCAGAAACATGCACAGCTCTCCATGCAGATGAAAGGCCTGAATGATGTGGGTGTCTGTGTAATCTGCTGCTGCCTGGACTTTGTTACATGAGCCTAAGTCCCCCCGATTGCTGAAATTAGCAATTCAGCACTGCAGGTCCAGCTGTCGCTTGAAACTGCTTTGGGTGAAGGCCTGGCCTTTCCCCTCTGGTCCCTGAATGCAGACATCTCTCCCACTGCAGAGATCGCTCAACAACCTGCTCAATGGCCCATGCCTGCAGCAACCATCAATGGCTCCTCTGCTGAAATAACGGCCCCACATTATGCTTAGAAAAGCAAAGGCTGAAGGCACACGGATGACTCATTAAAGAACAGTGCAGCACTCACTTAGGGGAGGAATAAGAAGTGACATGGTGTCTTCCCACTGCCATGCCCACCCGTGTCTTACCAAAATTCACAGTAGATTCCAACTAAAACTATGTTGACTGATTGAGACCAGGGAGCTCGTATTTTAGTTCCATCGATTTCCCCCTTGACCCCGTTCATCACATGTTGTATTATTAGCTGTCTGGTGCCTGCCTCCTTGGCAAGACTGTGAGCCTCATGAGAGGTGGAGCTTTGTCTTCTCTGCTGTAGCCCCACTACCTAGCATAGAGTAGAAGCCTTTATTTATCGATCTAAAATTTATTTTTGGAAGACTGACTCTTAACTTGCAGCCTCAGGAAACCAATTCCCGCATGGACCAGGAGTCCTATACCCAGAAGCTGTTCCTTGAAGGCTGTTGCTAAGCAGACTCTGGAGACTCTAGGGGCAGATACGTCCTCTGTGATGCCTCTTGCTCCTTGCCCAGGGCAGCCAACTCACTGCCTTTATGGAAGGCAGCTGAGAAGGAAGGAGCAATGACTCAGCTGGCTTCTAGACGGGTCCTGCACCAGAGGTCTCTCTCTCCCCCCAACCGTATTCCCCCACCTCTGCTGTGAGTCATCTCTGAGTCATCAACCTCCCTTCCCCCAGAAAATCTAGGGGGCTCCCTTCAGGATGCCCGAGGATCTTCTCTGAGGGGTCTCCAGAAAATGAGCTCCTCTACTCCTGCAGCTGAAGCTCTCAGTTAAGGCCTGAAGCTATGCTGCCCGCTGTGCCCATGAAAGCTGTCACTGTGACTGTGGCTTCCCTGGTGCCATGTATGACGTGACGGGAAGCCCATCATCAGGCAGCAAGTGAGACCTGGAATTTGTTGCTCCAGGAGTCTCCTTGCAACCATGAAAGCACTAGTGTTTCTCTGGAGCCTGATGCACATGCATGTGTGTTTCTCTCTCTCACACACAATGCAGTCCTACTGCACACCCCAACATGAAAGGCTCTACCCCCACAGGATCTCTACATTTGCAAGTGAGGTCCTAACTATTGGTAGGGAAAATAAGAGTTTCCAAGAGTTTTAAAGGCTTTTATTTGTTTACACATTCTCTAAATTGCAGACAAAAGATTCACTACGTGGGTAGTCAACATTGCTAACCAATCACAGAACAAGATACTAACCACAGCAAGGAAGGGGTAGGGGCTTGTGACTCAGTCTTTGAGAACGTGCGAGGGTTCCATGGGATATCGAGGGGTCCCAAAGACAAAGGCTGCTCGATCCCCACGTCATTCTTCATCCCATCAGCGACAGGTCTCCCTCCCAGAACCCTGTCAGGACAGGAGAAAAGGCAGCAAGAGAGGTGGGGCGGTCCTGGCACGTGGGCCACCAGTCTTCTGAATGAAGAGCGAGTCCCGGGTCTGCTTCCAATCTGTAGGTTCTCCTGGAGACTGTCACAATCTGGCAGCTCTCTGGGAAGCAACAGAACCGGCATGTCCCCTTAGGATGGCAGGAGATGTGGCACAGCCTCAATCTCCAACACTGAAACACAGAGAGCTTGATACGTCCCTTAGGGCAGAAACATCACAGCACTTCACGTTAGGAGTCATGAAAGAGTGAGAACCTGACACACGTGGGAAGGGCACATCCCCAGAGGACAGAGGGCCAAGGCGGCACACACACCTACAGACAGAGACCGCAACCACATCACAGTAAGGAGGAGGACAGCTAACGGGGTGCGAGGCGGGAGCTTTTTGTTTGTCTGTTGCTGTCGTTGCTTTTTAGAGAAACCAGGGTGAGCCAAATGGAGATACTGTCTCAAGACCATTACACACAACTTCCCAAATCTGTAGCCCTTTTCTGTAACCTCATGAAAGCTGTGTCAGACTCAGTCCTGGTCTGAAGTACCCAAGCAGACCAAGGCAAAAACTCATCCACAAGAGGCAATGCGGTATTGGGTTCCAAGGATCAGTGGGGAGGGCCTTCAAAGGAGCAAAAAGGGAAACCCTCTTTCATAGGCATTTCTCTCGCTGGAGCCCAACTCTCTTGGTCATTCTTTTATGACTAAGAGTCTCAGAAGGAGTTGTGGGTGTGGGGTAAAAGAGACAAGCAAGCATGTTGGAATGATGGGGATAAAATGTTGCAGTGGCTTCCCTCTCTGGTGCCCACACCTGGAAGAAGTGATCCCAGGTTTGCGTCGTATCTGCAGGTCTAGAGACATCAATGGAGGCACTAATTGGAGATCTCAGTGCATTTCCAGGGTCCCCTTTCCCAAGGCAGTCTAGAGCAATGGAGGGGCAGTACATTCCTAAGGCTGTGAGATGCCCAGGGTCTCTATTCACCAGCTGAGAAAGGGCAATGAAGACTAAACACACCCCTTCTGCAAGTCCACACGCTCTCTGACTCAACCAGAGGGCATCCAAGGCCTGGTGGAACCTGTGCGGGCCTGAGCTTCCTCGTGGAGCAGCGGGTAGGCAGCTCCTTCCCAGGGACCTCGTCGTCCTTCCTACCGCAGAAGCCACCCGTCAAAGCCCACCCGGAGGAATCCCAGTGTTCATAAATGGAGGTGCCCTCACCAAAGCCACTGGACCAGCCTGTCCGTGAGAAGAGACACAGAGGGATTTCAGCAACGAGAAGAAAACCAATTTCTTTCGGCTTCTTAGCAGAGATGTTCCATGTCTTGGCTATCAAAGAGAGAAACTGGGCTTAAAAATTGCCCTCACCCTGAACCCACTTGGCGAGGGGGAGCAGACCTGGTTGAGGTCTAGTTCTGGCTTTTGTGAATCGACCGTGTGACACACACAGCACAGCATCAAGGCGGGAGGGCGCCTGATCAGACTGTGTTCTCAGACTGAGAGCGCACTCAAGGGCAGGCAGGAGATGGAGAATTCTCAGAGCTCAGCCGCTGGCTCTCGAGCTCCCAGGCTCATCCCTCAAGGAGCTGGGGGCCTGAAGGCTCAGGGTCCACCACTGGCTGCCTGGGGGCAGTGCTGCCAGTCTGGTGTGGAAAGGGTCCAAGTCAGAGGCCTTTGCCTCACCCCTTCCACCAGCAGGGCCATTCAGAGGAGCCTTGGCTCAAGAGAACCTTGCCCACAGGCTTTCAAGTAGGTGAGTGGACCAAACCCCTTCATGCTTTTCAGGCTCTCACGCACTTTAAAACCAGACTCACAGCCAAGCCTTGTGTCCCTGGCTACCTCCACAGAGATCACCAGAATTCCCCTCGCTGGGAGCCATGTGCTGTCTAGGGCCCCAGAGGAGCCTTCCCTCGGGCCAGCCCCACAGAGAAGCTATAGCTCTGAGCCGACATCCACACATGGACAGATACATGCCTTCCCCCAAGCCCAGGCATTTTGCTTGAAAGCGAGCTTGGTGTGGCTTCTTCAGGGAATAACTCAAAGCTGAAATCTGGCTGTGACACGTGTGGAGAAAAGGAAAGATGAAACAAATGGTTTATTCCTAATGCTGTCAACACAAACAACTGACAGTCTAAGCCAGCATGAAGCTAGGACCTGACAAGCACCTGGCCAAATGTGAGCATGGAAGGTTTGCTGAAAAGCTCTCTGATGCTGGGTTTCATCCCTGCACACACCAGCAGTGCCAGACACGGGCATGGGGCAGCTGACCTTGCTGGGGTCTGGTGGAGTGTGCCCAATCTGTGCATGAAGCCCCCCCCACCCCAGTAGTCCCCCTTTCTGCTTTCTCTAGCAGGGACAAGACCACTGTGGGGGTCATTTTCTGCCTCTGATCAGGCCCTACCAATTGCACCTCCCTGTCTTCCACCCCAAGAACCTGCAAGCAGCACTGGGGGCACTGGCTGCCCAACACACTCCAGCCCAGGTGCCTTCATCAGCTCACCAGTTTTAATGCTGAGGATGCTGTCATCCAAGGGCATCTAGTGCTTGGAAAAGCAGATTAAAGCAACTAGGCTGAGGTCATCTGTTTTCTTCCCCTGACCCCTCAACCTCCACAGGATGGAAATCATTGGATGCCTCCACCTACTTGTCTTCTACTGAGGAACACGCATCCTCAGCAGAGAAACCTACATATACATCTACCTTCCGTGGTGGCGCGATGCTTGACCTATAGTCACGATTCCTTGGCAGAACTTAATTTTATAGCTGAAAAGCAACTTGAAGGCTGGGCCAGGATGTGGTTTGTTTTCCAGCCTCTACAGGACCTAGAGCATTGCCTTGCACATAGTCGATGCCCTGCCAAGGGTTTTAATTTAGCCAGTAACAGCCTGCCTTGCAATGATTCATGGCAGGCAAAAGATGGGTTCATTTTCCTTCAGAGGAAAAACCCCCAGAGTGGACAACCATGGCAGATGAGTGGGGGGCAGCTCGGATGGACTGTGTTCCCTTTCCCAGCCAGAGGAGCACAAGTGCCCCCTAAGCATCTGACCATTCATCGCAAAAGCAGGACCCATCTGCTTTCCCAAACGCCATGTGGACCAGATGCACTGGTGAGCCAGGGACGCCCTGCCTACCTACCCCGCCTCTCTCCAGCCACCTGCTCCCCACCTCCTCTGCTCTGAGATAATCGTTCTATATTTTCATGCTCTCGCTCACGTATCAGGCAGTGTTTCTGTCCTTTATTTTTTTCTAGTACCTAATTTAGGCCTCTTCAACTACATGTTGAAAATGTGCACGGGGTATATTTTCTTTTTCCTTTACACCACTGTTGCTTCCCACTTCCCACCTCCACCCCACTCCTTAGCATCTAGCATGGCAGAGGGAAGGGAGGAAACAGTGTAGGGAAGGGAGAGGGCAGGATGAGAATCGAGGTCTCAGTGGGGAGTAGACATGGAAGGGCAAACCAAGTCCACAAAAACCACAACCCCCATTCTAGCCATAAAAGCTTTGCATCCCTTTGATAGCACAATTGAGACTTTTCAAGTCCCCAACTATTACCAAATGTCTCTCCTGAAAAGAAGCACAGGTGAACGAAGGGAAGAGAAGGAAAGAGGTCATGGAGCCAGTGGCTTTCCAAGCACAAGGCTCCCTTTGCAACCCCTGTGGCTGTGCAGGAGCTGAGAGCCAGAGGAGCTGGACTGGAGAAGATTTCAGAAAGACGCACCTTGCCTAGCAGCCCCTGGCTCTCCCTCTTGTCCTGGAGCAACATCAAAGTTTCCCTTTAGTTCATTAAGCAGGGTGTGTGTGTGTGCGTGTGTGTGTGTGTGTGTGCGCGCGCACGCACGCATGGGCATTCCTGTTCTCATCATCAATATTCATAACATTGAAATGAATAACAGAGATACAGAGAGGCGAGCAAATGAGCAAATGGGATGCAGTGAGTGAAAATATAACCTGGGGGTCTGTAGGGTTGTGTTGCTGAGGGGATATACAGGCCCCAGGGGCTCGCGGGCCTCTCCCATTTCCTACAAGGCCCACTTACCTGCCCTCCCGTCCCCACCACGGCCGTGTTTATTTGCTAGACAGGGTTGGTGCCAGCCTACAGGGCCATTTTGCTTGCTGCCTGGGCTAGAGGTCATGATGAGTAATTATATCTCTGTCCAAGAGGGTTCTGGCTGCCTGCCAGTCCTGGTTCCTGCCTTCCTCTGGCCTGCCCTGGGAAATGTCGCCATCAGCAAAATACTCCCTTCTCCTGGGGGAGCCAAAGAGGGGGAAACTGTGAAAGGTCCCTCTCTCAAGGCCACCTGCCCTGCGACCTGAAGCTGGCACTGGAGCAGAGAAAGGGAAGGAGTGGGGACAGAAGCTGGAGTCACCTCAGGACCCCCTTCCAGGCAGGGCTCACTCAGAGCTCAGAGAGCCTGTTCCAGGAACCCACTCACTTCCAAATCTTTCCCCTCATGCAGGGAGTTCCCTGTTCCTTCTGGAAAACCCCCTGGTAGGGAACTGGCAAGCCCGGACCCCTCCTCTTCAGAGTTTCCTGACAGCACTTCCTTTGGGCCTCTCTTCAAGCTGCCTGGGCTGCTCACACAGAGGGGGCGCCCGCCGCACAGCCAGGCCTCCCCGGGGACAGCTGCTGAGAGGCTCCAAGGCAGCTCCCACTCACTCTGCCTGGGAGGCTGTCTGTCCTCCCACATCCCGGGTGCCCAGCAGGCAGCACCCACATCTTCCTCTCCCCTCCTTCCCCCTGCCCCCCTCTCAGCTGTCCACTCACAGACCAGAGGGTCTCCAGCCTCCCTAGAAAGGGGTTCCCAGCTCTCCAAGACCCTCCAACAGCTGCCCAAAGGCCCTGAACTAACCCCTGTGTCCCTTTGTTCCACACTCAGGGCTGGTGGCCGTGGCCTCTGGCAGAGAATCATAAGCAGACTCCTAAACCCTAGGAATGCTCAGAAATGGGTGCGGGAGTCCCAACCCCCAGACAGCTATGGAGCCCACCTTCTGGCCACGGACCAGTTAGACTCTACAGCAAGCTGGGGCTCAGGTAGGGAGACTCGTAGGCCTGAGGCAAATTAAAACATCTGTTCCCCACCACCACTATCCTTCCCCTTCACCTGGAATCAAAAAGCATGCTTTGGGGATGGGAGTAAGATTGCAAAAAGGGTAACACACAGCGGGGAGAGGAGGAGCTCTGTCCACTTTGCAGGGGGCAGAGGAGCAGGACTGGCCAGGCCCCCGCTTCCCTTCCCAGCTACTGGTGTCCTGGGCTTGGGGGACAGGGGCCTGGAGGCCTGACCCGTCTGGTAGCAGTGCCTGGAAATGCTTCACTCCCCAAGGCTACAGGCATGATCCAGCCCTCCCTCACTGCCTTCTCTCTCCAGCTGGGTATGGGGCCTGCTTTGCCCTCAGAAGCATCCCTGAAACCCCACACAATCAACAAGGGGCCTCAAGAAAGAGGGAGCTGAATTAGAGTTCAGAACTGGGCAGAGGTTTGGCCTTTTTAAAAAATAATAATAATAGTAATCTGCTGCCCAGGATCACAAGACTCAGGAAAAAAAACAGAGTTTCAATCACTGTTCACTCCCACCTGCTGCCCTCCAGCTCCTTAGCTCCAGGATTTCTGCCTGAGGACATCCAGCTCTCTGCCTTGTTCCGCCAGAGATCTTTGCCCCTCCCAAATGCCCTCCCACCCTCCCTTCCCGAGGCACCCCTGTCTCTCTTCCTCCCCAGGAATGGGAGCCTGCTAAAAGGGACACCAAGTCACCACTGCTACAAGGAGCCAGGCCTGGGACTTGTGGCATCTTCCATGGGAGTGTGAGCGTGGCTCTGGCCAGGGCCAACTTCTCCATTGGGACCCCCTGAAGAGGGGCCAGGAGGGGCAGCCGGGGAGTGAGAAAAGAAGGGGCTGCTCCTGTCCCAGCACTTCCACGACAGGCTAAAAACCAGCCTGGGGACCAGGGATGTGGTCCTCAGGGCCCGCCCTGGGCCATGGGGCAGCACAACGCCCCCCACCTCCTCACACGCAGACCCAAAGAGGATCTTTTTGAGCCCTGAGGCCTGAGGTTGCCAGCAACCTTTCTTCAGCGGCACAAAAGAGCGCAGGTCTCCTCCACTTGCTCCCAAAGGAAAAGTAATAACAATCATCTCATTTTTCTTCCTTAAAACACCAAAACTTTTAAGCGGAGTGTTGAAAGGAAGCGGGCTGTATTCAAAGCACGAAGACAAAAATGCACCATGAGTGTGTAACCCTCCAGGGTATCATGAAACCATCACTGTGAAACCCAAACCCTCCCCCAACTTCAAAACCTGTTATCTTCCCCAGCTCTGGAGGAATCTGGCCTCCTTCCCTCCCTTCCACCCACCCACGAGCTCTTCCCTGGTTCCAGTTGGCTGGGCTCAGCCTGCCTGGGCTTCCTACCTTGCCCTGGGGCAGGGACAGGAGCAGGGGAGCTTTGGGACCTGCTGGCTCCTGCTTCAGGGGCAATAAGTCAGTGAGGGGTTCCGAAGGAAAGCCAGAATGTCAATCTCCTAGCAGGAGCCCTGTTTCTATTTCCACATAATGTTGCCTGCGCTGGATTTGCTACAGGTCCCAAAAGCAGGGTTTCAAAAATGCCTGCAGGGAACAGGATTTCCACTTCCGGGTTGAATCCGGCAGCCTCACCTCTCTGGTTTGCTGGAGCCACAATACAGAGGCCTCCCGGTGAAGCCCAGCAAAGGTCTCCTGGCTGTTCCCAGCATTTGAGCCGGGAGACAACCCCATCATTGTCCCCATTTGGTGACCTCTGCAGAAAATGACAATAGCTACCATGGAGTGGGGACCATCATCGTGCCAGACCCGTGCCAGGATCTTTACCAACGTCACCTCGAATAACTGCAAAGACCATGCTGGAGAGGCCATGTTTCCCCACCTTACAGACGTGTGAAATTTGGCTCAGAGAGGTGAAGTCATTGGCTCAAGGTCAGTCAGCTAGAAAGTGGCAGTGTTCGTCAGAAAGTGAGCGTTACCCATGAACTGAAACGAATCATAGCCCTCTCTAAAAGTCACCTTTCCATTCTCAACTGCGTTCATCTTATAGAAGGGAGTATCCTGAGCACCTTCATTTTAAAGTCCCCAACCCCATGTATATCCCTCACCTCCACCCCACAGCCCATGCAAGTCATGATTTCCTTGTCACAGCTTTTGCCAGGACCCTGACCATGGGCAGCCCGGCCCTGGCAATATAAACTCCCTTTGGTCACAAGGGAGATACGAAGAAGACATCTAACATTGGCTAATGCACACAAGAAGGTGGACATGGAAAATACCTGGAGTTCTTCCCAGACAAGCATGGCTCTGCAGTGCTTGTTTATGTAGCAAAACTCTCAATCTCGCTCTGGAATAGTCAGGGCAAGTGTTACTATCTCCATTTTCCAGGTGGGCAAATTGAGGTTCAGGGAGGTTAGGTGACTAGCCCAGTGTCACACAGCTACTCCATGGCAGAGGCAACACAGAAACCATCATCCTTCACAGGCATCTTGTGATTCGAGCTCAGAGAATGATTCTAGCTCATTCTCTGGGGTTCAAAAGAAAAAAAAAGAAACCAATTTAACGTTTAACAACCCTGTCCTCTTTTCAACACAGAGGTGATAAATGTGACCATAGAGACTTTTGTCTGCTTGCAGTACCCTGACAGTGCCAGCCCACAAGTTGGCTTGCTATCCCTGCTTTCCAGATGGGGAAACTGAGGCCTCCAAAGATGAAGAATGGGTTGGCCCCATTCTGCAGGGAGTAATGAAGCAGAGAGGGGAATTCCAGGGCCATCCTAATGTCACTCCAGAGCCCTGACCCTCACCACTGCAGGCAAGTTCCAGTGCCCTGCCTTGGCCTGGGAGACCCAGCTCAGGCTCAGCTTGTGTGGGCAAAGCAGACGTGGGGCTGAGATAGAACAGGGGTGCCCTATCGCCTGCACTTCTGTGGAAAACAAATTTACACATACTCCGAAGAGGACGTGTCAAGTTGTAGAGCCACAATTTGGGGTTTCAGACTTGCTTTTTAAGTTTTTAAGCTATTGTGGCATTTGGGAACATTTGGGGAATTTTTTTCTCTAAATTTAAATTAAAATGACTCTCAAAACCAATTATTAGCCTTTGGAGACAGCCTGCTTTGAGTTTTGTGGGAAGAGAGAGAGCTAGAGTAGTCAGGAGAGAAAATGTGCCCCTCTGATGGAATGTCACCCTCCCTATCCCTCCCTGGGCCTTCAGGATTCAGACGAGCTCACCGACCAGCAGGCGGAAGGAAATTACTTATGAGGAAGACGAAAATTCCATCCGGACCAGGGGCCCTTTAAATGAGACCATTATGTATGTGTGTGATTCACTCTGAGGCCACAGGCCCCTGCAGGAGAGTGACCCCCATCGCTTGCCACAGGTCACTCTGCAGAAGCGTGGGGGAGACCCACACTGCTTGGTTTCATGCCAAGCTGCCCTGGGTCCACTGGCCAAGAGCAATTAGCCTGGAGAGGAGCACTCCTGCTGAGGGACAGCACAAATACTGCAGCCGGGCAGAAGTGGCCCAACTAGCCCGAGTCTCCGGGAGCTTCCTCAGGAGCTTAAGAACTAAAAATAACCTGGGCCTTTGTTGTGAGCAGCCGGACCACAGAGATGGAGCTGATTTCAGAGAAGCCAAGCATGCGCGAGGGTTCCGCTCACCGAGACCTGCCCTTCGGGCAAATGATTTTTCCAGAAATATGTCAGTTATTGTGCTGCTGCTGTGATTCAAAGTCAGCCCAATCCGCTCCAGCCCTCGGGGCTATCTTCCAACACACAGAGTTCTCGGAAGCTCAGCCTCCCCACCTCTTTCTTCTAGACACATTTTTTTTTAAAACAAGAGTCCTGCACGTTTGGGGAGCTTAGGAGACAAGAGTAACCCCCGCACTAAGAGTTCTAAAATGTGGCCACCCTGGTCGTGAATGATGACCACCTCACCCTAATTATTTGTTTAGATAACAATCTTCTCCTTCCCCTGGGAATCTTAAAATTCCCAGTCAGGTCTCAGTAGACAATAGCGAACATACACTACGTGGAAAGAAGAAATTACTTAGGAAAAGGAATTCAGAGCGTGGCATCAATACTGAAGGTTTCTCAAAGCTGCAGCCCCCTGTATCCAGCATTCAGACACATGATTGAGCAGCCTTCACTCCCCTTCCTGGTTCTTGAGTCCCACCAGGGGAAGCTGAACCAGTTCTCCAGACCCAGGTGGGCTGAGAGGCAGAGGCTTGACCGTCTTCCTCTGTCCATAGGCTGTGGCTGGTCTCACCTAAAGGATGTCCCAGCTCTAAGGTCAAGGAACCAGCCTGGCCCCTTGCAAAGTCTCTCCCGATGGATAACAAGTACTGACTGGCTATGGCGGGGCCTTGGCACCATTTCCGCAATGCTTCCTCCCATGGCTCAGCGCCTCTCCCTCCCTCCCCGCCCCCATCTAGTAACTTGAGGCAGTGGATCAAGACCAGGCTGGCTGTGGATGCCACTGCTGAGGTTCTAGAAGGCAACTCTTTGTCTCCACAGACACCAAGGAACAAGAAGGGGTTGCAAGACCCCAAGTCTAGAAGTTTCCAGTGAGGCTTGCCATAAACAACAACTTCTCCACAGCCCTTTATTCCTCGGGTGAGAATTTCAGGATGAAGAGCCTAAGCTGGAGGGGGCGGGGGCTGTGCGAAGATTTCTTGGAACACAATAGATAAAAAACACCACACTACACACAATGATGGGTGAGTGGTCAGGAAATGGCTTCCCTTAAAATGGGAACCAATGAGAGGGCCTCGGTGCTAGGGCAAAAGTGAAAGGGGTTCCACAGGGCTAGGGCCGGCAGTGTTCTTCCGAAGTGCAACTTCCTTCCGGTAGAAACAAGGAGGTGCTGGCTGAAGTTCCGCACATATCGGGGGCGGTCAGGAGATGCCTCGCCCTCTTGGTTCCATGTGTCCGTGCCCCTCTGGGACTATTTCTTTTCCTTACAGTTGGTCTGTCTGGATATGTAGGAAGAGGGCGCGTTCTGGTTTGAGCTGGGCTCTGCTTTAGCCTCTCCAGCAGCAAGTCACATTCTGTGACCTAGGGCCCTAGGCCTGGCAGCCGAAGGCTGAGGCTTTCTCTTTGAGCAGTTCCCAGCATAAGTGGCAGCTCCAGCTTCCTGCAAGAAATGAGATGGCTTTAGTAGCAGCCCCTCTGCTAACTCTGGAGCCCCACCCCAGTGCCCCTAACTTCTTGTAAACCCTGTTTCCTTTGAACTTCGGCAATGCAGAAACCAAGTCCCAGGCCTGAAAACGTGCCGGAGTCTGTGGCTCAGCAGAAAGCAGGTGCTCAGAGGAGATGGGCTCAACTCTTATCAAGACCCTCACTCCCTGGTCATGCCTCCAAACTAGTGTCGCCGGGCCCTGCGCTAGTTCCCCTGGAAGCTCACACCTCCCCAGCATCTCCACTGCATGTCTGGGAAAAACCTCCTCGGCCCTCAAGTTGAAATTTAAGCTGCTTGGACTGTGCCTCAGTTTCCTCATCTGTAAAATGGCAGTCGTCGTACCTACATTGTGGGGTTGTGACGATTAAATGAGACAAGACATGGACATGTAAAGCCCTTAGCACAGGCCTGTACTATGGTGAGAGCTCAGTAAGTGCTAGTAGTAGTAGTATCTGCTGCTGTTGTTACTGTTGACCTCATCATCATTACCTTCTGGGGGCTCAGCCACCGGGGGATTTAAACAGTACATGTGATAGCCACGGTCACAGTCATCGCAGAAGAGTAGCTGGTCCTGGTGGAACACAGAGCAAGCACAGAGGAGGAGAGATTCCGTTATTTGGGGCCAATGTGTGGCCCCTACTTACCCATCAGCCTTATTTCCACATCGGCCTCACTGGATCCCCTTTCCAGGTCCCACATGGAGTCCTCACTGTTCCGTGAACATGCCTGTGCTTTTCCCACACCTAGAGTTTCCCCCTCTACCTCCCAGCCTATATAAATCCTACACCTATTTTAGGGTTCTGCTTAACTCATACCTCCTCCAAGAAGCCTTCTGTGACTACCACCTCACATCCAAATTTAAAAGGATTCCTTATTCTTCTGAACTTCCAGAGCCAATAGCTCTGCTTCCAAAGGGCAGAAAATGTCTCTATTGTCCATGACTTTATATATTTGAAGATCTTAATTGAATTCTTCTGGATTCCACTCCCTCCATCTGTGAAATGGGCAACAGCTGTACTGGGATGAACCTCAGAACCTCTTCAGGGTTTCATTAGAATGTAGAAAAATGCAAGTAGTGCCATCCCTTGGCTTCCAGAAGCTTCCTCACTGTCTGGAGGCTGGAGCCCAGGTGAGAACAGGTTCCCCCAGGATTGTGGTTAACTTCAAAGGACACAGGCCATATCTTTGCACCAATGGCTACTTCTGCCTAGAGGCTCTCCCAGACCCCTGACCCTTTCTCTGCATGTCCATTCCCTGCCTGCCCTTCAAGTACATCTTCAAGCACTTCTTTTCCACAAAGACTTTGCTAATCTACCTCAACTGGAAGTTCTCTCTTCCCTCCTGCAGAGCCCGGTGGTACTTTCCCTTTCTGTGACATTTAAATGCATTTTCCTTTATGTTACATGCCTGGCATGTGGTAGACATCTAATCACGCTTGTTTTCTTGGTCGGGCACTGTGGCTCATGCCTGTAATCCCAGCACTTAGGGAGGCCAAGGTGGGTGGTTCACTTGAGGTCAGAAGTTCAAGACCAGCCTGGCCAACATGGTGAAACCCCATCTCTACTAAAAATACAAAAATCAGCTGGGCATGGTGGCGTGCATCTGTAATCCCAGCTACTCAGGAGGCTGAGGCAGGAGAATCTCTTGAACCCAGGAGGTAGAAGTTGCAGTGAGCCAAGACTGCACCACTGCACTCCAGCCTAGGCAACTGAGTGAGACTCTGTCTCAAAAAAAAAAAAAAAGACATCTACATGTTTGTTTTCTTGACTAATTAATTTGGAACATGCCTCTTTTTTCCACCCTTTATCCTCTTTATGGACTATAAGGCCCTTGGGGGAAAATCTTGTTTTCTTCATCACTGCATCCACTGTAGTGACTTCCTTGCATACAGGAGCTACTCAGAAACTGTTTGTGATCTGGCCCCACCCCCTAGTTTCAGCCCTGTTCTATTTGGTGATTTTTGAAAGTGTTTGGATGGCTTATAAGACTTTTTCAACATAAAGTTTTGTATCAAATCTCACCTTGGCTCCCACCAGTGCAGAAATCCTGGATAAAATTAGATATAGCAGTCGGAATCCCCAGGGAGCCAGCAAGGAGGGCTTTTTTTGTCATGCTAAAATCCATCAGTGGGGCAACAGGAGAGCTTTTGAAGAGTTATCAACTGGGCAGTGATATGATCAGATTGCAGTTTAGAGAGATCTTACTAGCTGCTATGTAAGAGTAGATACCCAGTGGGAGAGAGGTTCATTCAAGAGGCCAGGGGACCAGTTAGGAAGCTGCTATAGCTATCCAGATGCGTGATGATTGTGGCCTGAATTACGACTGTGGCATGGAGAAAGAAATGGGTCTTGCTCCCATTTAAGCATCATTAGATGGGGAGAGTGATAGGGAAGAAGCCAAGGATGCCCTCTGGGTTGTGGCTTGGTCAGCAAGCCTGATGATACAGTCACCCATTGGGACATGGGAGGAAGAGCAGACTCATGGGAGGGAGAGGGCAACCTCAGCTATAGACATGTTCTACAGATAGGGATGACCTGGAGGCTGTTGAAGAGAGCAGGAGAGAAGTCTGGGTGTGAGATATGGATTTGGGAGTCATTGTAACTAGATGGCAAATGAAGGTCCTAGGAGAGGAAGCCTGGAATGTGTGAAAGCAAATGTCTTTGAACTTGTCTTCATGGAGGAGTGTCCATGAACCCCTTGAAATGATACATACAATTTTGTACATAGGTAGAAAGTACATGTTTCTATGGAAAGAGTAAATTCATAGCTTTCATTGAATTATCTGAAAGATCAAGGACCCAAAAGAATTTACTGAGAAGAAGGTCAAGAATAGACACTTGGGGTACTCCAACTTTACAGGGTAGGCAGAGAAAAAAAGACTGAGAAGGAACAGTCAGAAAGGTAGGATGAAGACGAGCACACTGTAGTTTACGCCAAAAAAGTTACATCATTATTGTAGAACCAGAATAAGCTACAGGACAATTTGATTTAGGGATAATAGGATAATACAAGGAGAAACAAGTTAGGATGGGGACAGAAAACAGACAGGACTTGTCAGAAACAGTGTTATTAATGCCTTAAAAACAGCAATAACCCCTACTATAGCAGTTACATAGGAAATACAAATAGGTAGAATATCCTGGATTACAGTTTCCCAAAGGAAAACTGGGCACCTGAGAGTTTAAGTGCATTTTGCATGGGTTGACCATTGTCTAGCACCATATTCTCTTCTCTTCCACCACCAAGAACCCCCAGTTCATGCTAACTCTCATGACAAACACAATTTTAGTACCTCTCACTACCAACTATCCAGGAACCAATTGGTGGCATAACCACACAGAGAGAAACTATTTCAAATGACTATAAAACAATTAATCTGACAATACATCCTTAGTAGGACATAACTTAAGGTCATAAATAAATGCAAATATGCATACATATGGGTGTGTGTGTAATGTTCAGCAATTATATTATTGGTGTAAATATCGGAATCAATATTCTGAGACCGCTTTATGTGCGTCAAATGAGTAATTATGTTGGTATCATTGAAAAGCAAGATTTTGTAACATGGTTGAAAGAAAACAGAAATGTAGGCCAATGAAGTTAAGTCAAAACTCAATAGTTGGTTCTAAGTATGAACTGGATGCATCAGTATAAATTCATGGTGTAGTTTATCTTTAAAACAAGCAAAAAATATTTTCTACCTCTGTCCACACAAAGTGCGCCAAAACAATGACTAACAGCAAAATTAGCACCTCTAGCACCCACATTATGTTCTCCAAAGACCACTGCCCACTAAAAGGAACTAGGAGTCCCGGGAGAAATAGGTGATTCCAGGTCTGGAGCATAAAATGTATAAATATATTTAGATATTACAAAGTAAGAAAGCTATCAAATACTATTAGAAGTATGTCAAAAGGACTCAGGATCCTACCTGAATATGCTACCACTGGTCAAAGATGGGACAATTTTACCTATAATGGATTACAACAAATAAAATATGTTTAAAATCTTCAGTTCATAAACATATTTTTTAAAACCTTAGTCACCTTCAGAAGATGCTAGAGAAACATCACACTGTATTTTTATTTATTTATTTGAAATAATTTTAAACTTAGACAAAAGTACAGAAATTGTGCTGAGAATTGTACTCAGTGTACCCTAATATTAGCATCTTATATTACTATAGCAGAATTATGAAAATCAGAAAATTATCATTGGTGTAATACTATTAACTAATCTATAGACTTTATTTGAATTTCTCCAGTTTTCCCACCTATGTCTCTTTTTGTTTGTTTGTTTGTTTTGAGACAGTCTCACTCTGTTGCCCAAGCTGGAGTACAGTAGCGTGATCTCTGCTCACTGCAGCCTCCGTCTTCCAGGCTCAAGCAATTCTCCTTCCTCAGCCTCCCGAGTAGCTGGGATTACAGACATGTGCCACCATGCCTGGCTAATTTTTGTTTTTTTAGTAGAGACAGGGTTTCCCCATGTTGGCCAGGCTGTTCTCAAACTCCTGACCTCAGGTAATCCACCCACCTCAGCCTCCCAAAGTGCTGGGATTACAGACATGAGCCACCATGCCCAGCCCCCCACCTATGTCTCTTTCCCCAGGATCCAATCCAAGATCCCTCACTGCATTTAATTGTTGTGTTTTCTTAGTATCCTTCAATCTGTGACAGTTCCTCAGTTTCTTTGTCTTTCATGAGCTTGACACTTTCAAAAAGTCCAAGCCAGTGATTTTGTAAATGTCACTCAATTTCAGTTGGATCTTTTTTCATGAGAAGATCCACATATGCATGCATTTTTTAGCAAGAATACCACTAACATAATGTTGCACCCTTCTCGGCGCATCGTATCGGGGGTAATTGAGGCCAGTATGTCTTATTACTTGTAATGTTATCTGTGATTATATAGTTAAGGTAGTGTCTGCTGTTTATTTTCCACTGTAAAGTTACTGTTTTTCCCTTTGTAATATACTAATAAGTAATCTTGTTGGAGAGATACTTGGAGATTATCTCCTCAACAAGAGAAATAGGATATTTGAGATTATGCAAATATCCTATTTCTCATCATACTTTTGCCCACTAATTTTAGCATCAATTGACAGTTCTCACATAACTGTGAAGTGTTCCCAATGATTATTTCCCCTTTCCCACTACATTTATTCACTGGAATTCTGCTCTAAGGAAGAGCTTACACTCTCCTCTGTTTACTTATTTATTCAATTTTTACATTAGTATAGATATTTATTTTTTTCTTTAGGTTATAACCTAATAATATCATTTTTTTAAGCTAAAGTTTTCCTAGATTTGGCCATTAAGGGTTCCTTCAAGTTGCTTCCTGTGTCCTCTAGACACATGAAAATACCCTTTCATTTTTTAAACACTTCCTTATTTTCTGACACCACATAATATTCCAGGCTCATCTGGCATATTTTACATCCCAGCCCTGGAATCAGCCATTTCTCTAAGGATCCATGGTTCTTTTTATGAGAGAATGGTGTTTAGAAACCAATTTCTTGATGCCATATGTCTTCATTGCTTCTGTGTTGTCATTGCTTCTAGGCCCTCCCAGCCAACACAGGTAGGAAATAAATGTATGTGTAGGTACACATGCATACATCTCTACTTATTTCTGTCTATTAATATGTGTGTACACATATGGCTAGATATAGATATAATATGTATAAACTATATATAATACACTGTATATAAAATCATGAGTTCATAGCAATACTCACTATTCCAAACCAATGCCTTCAATCTAGCCTTCCCCCCTTTATTTAGTTATTCTTTTTCTGACTTTGAGAAACTAGACTCTCATTAGTCACAATACACAGTTATTAGTTCAAATCTAGCATATGTAGTTTCAGAATTACTAATTCATATACCTATGAAAATAAATTAACTAGAGTACAGTATTTGTGGTACAATTATTTCTGCCCTTAGCTTTACAACACACAGTCAAAATACTGTTTTCCAAAGTTACTTAGGTTATTCTTTTCTTCCTCACTCTTCATAACTCTATGGTTACATTATCTATTTATGTTAGAGTTAGGTTTATTTGTTACGGTTTTTATTCCATTTTAGTTTTTCCCTACATCTTGGTTGATTTTAAGTATTTATCTATTTGGGAGGTATGTGAAACCTTACGATGGTTGTAAGAGTCAAAGCTACACAAGAAAGTATTCTCTAAGAAGTGTTGTTCCTCCCTTATCCCTACTGCCCCCATTTTCATATTCCCATTTTTCCCTACCCCATTCTTCCAGACCTGTGTAGATAACCAATCTCATTAGCATCCTGTTTATTCTTCCTATATTTGTTTTACACAAGTGAGCAAATGCATGTAGGTTTTCTTATGTGTCTTTTTTCTTACAATAAGGTCAGCATACTATAGATATTCTATTTTACTTTGCTTTATTACTTAACAATATATCCTGGAAATGACTCCGCATCAATTCATAGACATCTGCCTTATTCTATTTTACAGCTACATAGTACTCCACTGTATGGCTGTGCCATTGTTTATTCAACAACTACTCTTCTATATATGGATATTTAGGTTGTTTCCAATATTCTGTAATAATGAAAAATGCTACCACAAATAACTTTATGCATATGTATTTCCATCATGTTGGGGGTATATCTTCAAGGTAGATTCCTATAGGTGAGAATGCTTAGTCAAAAGTTAAGTGCATGTTAGCTCTGTTAGGTATTGTCAAATTTCCTTCCACAGGGTTATACTAATTCATATTCCCACCAACAATGTATGAAGGCACCATTTTTCCCATAGCTTCATCAACAGAATATATTGTCATACTTTTAAACTTTTGCCCATCTGATAGGTAAGAAATGATATCTCAGCCTTGAGTTTCTTTGTGAGTGCATTTGAACTTTTTTTTTGCATCTTTAAGGGTCATTTTTATATCTTTTGTGGATTGTCTTTCATGCATTTTTCTCATTTCCTATCAGGTTTCTGGTCCTTTGTCTTCAATTTTTAACACTTCTTTTTATATAGGGAATTAGCCCTTAAACTGTGGTACATGCTGCCAAAATTGCCTCCCAGTTTGTCAGTTGTCTTTTGACTTTATCATGTTTTTGACTATGCAAAATTTTTATGTAGGCAAATGTACCAACATTTTATTTAATTGCTTCTGGATTTTGAGTCACAGTCTGAAAACCTTTTCCTGTATTTAGATTAAAGAGGAATTTATTTGTGCTTTCTTCTAGTACTCGCGTGGTTTTACTTTGTACATATAGATCCCCAATGTATCTGGTGATTGTTTTTATGTATGGCATAAGATATAAATCTAATTTTGTGTTTTCTCAAATGGCTACCCCGTTGTTCCAGCACCATTCATTTAAAAGTCTGTCTCTGACCCAGTAATTTTAGATGTGACTTTTACCCTATACTGTATTTCCATATGTTGTTGGATCTATTTATGGGCTTTCTATTCTATCCCAACTGGTCTATTTGTCTCTTCATGCATCAGTACCACACTGTTTTATCTATAGAGGCTTTACAGTATGTTTTAATATCTGGTAGGGCTAGTTTCCATCATAGTTTGTTTATCAGTATTTTCTTGGCTATTTTTGCATGTTTGTTTCTTCATATGAACTTAAGTATCGATTTGTCTAACTCTATAAAAAAGTTCATTGATATTTTTATTGGACTTCAAATAAATTTATAAATTAACTCAGGAAAACTGACATCTTTATAATGTCAAGTCATTCTACCCAAGATCATAAGATGCCCTTCCATTTGTTCTTTGTGTCTTTTCAAAAGTGTTTAAAAGTTTTCTCTATATAGGTTTTGCACATCTGTTGTTAAATATATCCCTTAATATTTCTTCTTTGCTGCCATTAGAAATGGAATTATGTTCTCTAACTGGTTATTGTTTGTATGTGAGAAGGTTATTAATTATTGTGTGTTAGTTTTATAATCTGTTACCTTTTATGTTTGAGTTAGCTTATCATTGATTCTCTAAGGTTTTCCAGATATACTATCATGTAATATAAAAATAGAGTTTTATTACTTTGTTATCCATTCCTACATCTCTAATTAAATTCTCCTGTCCAATTGCATTAGCTAATGTCTCCAGAATAGTATCGAATCCTAGTTATAGAGATAGTGAGCACCCTACCCTGGTTCCTAATCTTAGTGGAATTGTGCCTAGTGTTTTCCTCATTAAATAAGATACTGGTTTTAGTTCTAAGGTACAAATACTTTATCATCTTAAGAAGATATCCCACAATTACTATTTTTTAATTTTTTTAATCATAAATAGATATTTTAACCACACTGTTTTTTTAAAACTGACAAAGGGAAAGAACCAAGCATTTTTCCTGCCATTTCTATATGATCTACACCTGAAGGTAACCAAATGAAAGACTAGGAAAGTTTCTCTTCCTGGAATTACTCCAACCATTAACCAAAAAAGAAATTATCCAATAAGAATATCACTATTTTGCAACCCCTAACAGAATAGTTAATCTAGTCAAGGGTCATCAATAGATGCTACCTTTACAAAAAGAGAAACATCAGGCATTAGATACCTCCTGATGAAAGTATACACCACCATCTCTGAAGTAGTCTTGCCAAAAGAGAGAGAGACAGATAGATGGAGACACAGTTGATGAGAGGACAGAGAGAGAGATAAAGACAGACACAGAAAGAGAGGCAGAAATGCAACCTGAATCAAGCCTCTAACCCTAACTAACAATTGACAAGAAATTCAAGAGACAGAGGAAAATGTCAAACAGCACAGGGATACACTCAGTCAAATACAGTCATGAGAACTTGAACAAATGATCTGATTTCTTCAACAAAGAATTTAAGGGAGGAATAAAGAGAATAAGATGGAGGGAAAAGTCTATGTGTTATTTAAAGAAGTTATATATATGTTTATATGCACCTACAAATATTTAAATAAACTTCAGAGACATATCAACTAATTGCAATGTATGGGCTTTATTTGAATCCCAATTCAAATAAACAGGCTGTAATAGAAACATTTATGAGACGATTGAGGAAATAGAACTGTTGACTGGATGTTTGATTATGCTAAGGAATTATTGATTTTTTAGCTATGTTAATATTTTGGTTATTTAGGTATAAAAGTAAGTCCTTACCCTTTTGAGATACATATGAAATAGTTACAGGTAAAACGATATTATGACCGAGATTGTGGAGAGGGAGGTCATGGTATTTATGAAACAAGTTTGGATGTGTACTGATCTTTGTCAAAGCTGGTGATAGGCGTACATCAATTCCATTAATCTCTCTGCTTTTGTATATGTTTGAAATTGCCCATAATAAAAAGTGTTCTTGAAAAGTTTGCACTTATTATATTTAACATTTAGACCAAATGAGATCATATACTGTGGAATGTGGTGGAAACAGTCAAATACATCCCTGCCATAAGCAGTGTTCCCCACTGCCAGTCTCTGAGCCCTCAATTGCTAATGGCCAGGTTGCTCCCAAGTGCCAGGGTAACAGGCCCCAGGACAAGAGTCCTTCCTTCCTCTTCACCCCTCAAAGGACCCCAGCTCTGTGGATTTCTCCCTCCCACAGGGAAAGCCCCAAACTCACATCATTCTCTGAGGTCCCACAGAGGATACAGGATTTGCACTCTATGCACTGCCACTTGTAGGTCTTGACAGCCTCAGTCATGTTCAGGGTGAACTGCAGGCAGGTTGGGTGACCTGGAGGAAGCCAGAAACAGCAGAGTTAGGGCCAAAGTCTGAACTGCCACCCCTCAACACCACTAACTGGAAACACATCGATGCCCAGTGTGCAAGCAGGGCAGGGTAGCATGGCATAGGGAAAAAAATGGGGGCCCAGACAGGGCCTTACCCACATTCTTCACCACCCCGTTATTCAGATCAAGGGCAAAACAGAGATATAAGCATATCCAATTCTGCTTGCACTAAGATCATGTTCCCCAGTAGGTGTAACCAGTTGATGAGGACAGAAAGCCGTTACCAGAGAGAACGAGAGAAGAAACTCCAGAGCACGCAGCCTGGGGTAGCACTATGAGGGACACCTGTGGGACCCTCCAAGCCCCAGCGTCAGCTGTGGCAGCACAACAGGTAAGAACTGTTTGGAACTGGGCCTTCTGATCCAACCAGTTATTTACACTGCCTTGGGGTGCAAGGGAGGATATCAGAAGGATTGTATGAGGTTCCCAGGGTCAGTGCTCAGGAGTAGGATGAGGCATTGCACTGTTACCTAAAGTACCCATGCCATGCCCACACCCATGAGACTAGCACAAGTCCGCACCCTGAACAGTACCAGGGACTACAGAAGGAAGTGGCCTGGCAGGGACGGCAAAGAAATGTAGCATCAGAGCAAATGGCCAGGTCTATCCTAAAAGGACTGGTCGCCGGTTCTAACTCTTTTCTCCATCCCAAGTTTCATGGAAGCCAACCCAATCACAAGACGAAAGGAGGGACAATAAGCTGTGACCTTCGAGCACAGCCCCAGTGAGCCATGTCCAAGACTTGGCCTGCAGAACTGGACTCAGTCCTCAGACCTAGGTCACCTAAAAGAGAGATGCTTGCAGGGAGAGGATGGCCATGAACTGTAGAATGCAAAGACCCTTGGCCTTCTATCTGGCATGGAAGGAAAACTTGGATAACATTCCCAGGTCTCCCAGATCTGTGAACCAGATCAGAATCTGCCCAGAGCACCCAGGGCAAAGCCCACTACTGACTCTGTCACAAAAAAAAAAAAAAAAAAAAAATTGACGCTTTGCCCATTGCCAAGCATTCATCGTTCTCCAGAGCTTCCAATTCCGCCAAACCCATTATATAGTGCCTTGTGTTGCCTCTTTCATTTGAAGGATTATATGCTTTAAAGAAGGATGCTAGAGACAGGGGACACCAATCATGGTTAGCGCTGCCAACCTAGTGTCTTCCACAGACAGGATCCCTCATGGCACCACCGCCCCTTGGCAAAGCCACATCTTAGCAGAAGCCCCCAATTCCTCCCTTTCAAATCTTCAGAGAACTGTTCATATCATGGCCCTTTGGATGAAATACCGTCTATTCGGCCAACATAAGAATCCTTCACATTTTGAGCTCCACAAATAGAAACCACGCTGAGTTATCTTGGAGAGTGCAAGGGGTGTGGACATGACTTGTTGGTGGTAGGGAGGGGACACTTAGTGAATACTGGCAGAAGCAGCAAGGAGAGGCCTGATCTAAAAGCTTTTCAAGGACTTATCAGGTACCATCTAACTTAGAGACTCCCACAGCTCTGAACTAATAACCCTATCAAGATGGCACCATGACAGTGGCCCCAAAGAGAAAGAAGACTTACATTAAAAGCCTCAGTGAACAGCCAGCTGATATTCTTGAAAGCATCTCAAAAATTTGTCTAAGAGGAACATTAGCCAGGGTTACTTCCTATTCCAATCTCTCAGAGAGAACACTGGAATGGGTACAGGGCAGGAAATACCTGTTTGGGACTCCATGTGGTATGACCACAGATGCCCAGTTTCTCTGACACGGCACCACTGACAGCATGAACATTGAGGTCATGGAGCTGATGCTCATATAGACAAGTTGACTTTGCCCAGTTCTGTGCCACACCCCAGCCACACCCAGCCAGCTTAGGATAACTATTCATTAACTTACCAAGTATTTATTGAGCACCTACAAGGCCAGCCATTGCACTGGACAGAAAAGACACAGTGGGGATGAGCAAGACATCTCGAGCCCTTCCAGCCTAGCCAAAGAGGCCTCAGACGAATCAGCTACACACGTAACTATCAACTACAATTGTATAATTAATGCCATGAAGGAAAATCATAATTGGCCGTAAAAACAAACAATAGAAAAACCTAACCTGGACTGAGATGTCAAGGAAACCTTCCCTGAGAAAGATCTTTAAGCTGATATGTGTTGGATGAGAAGTTAGCTAGGTGGGAAAAGGATGATTCCCAGTAAGGGGAACAGCATGGGTGGAGGCTTTGAGCAGTGAAGCAGCTTAGCAAATTACAAGGAAGAGAAAGGCCAGTGAGCAGAGGCTTGGTGAGCAAAAGGAAAGGGGTAAGAGGTGGCTGCAGAGGTAGCTGGAGGCAGATTACAGGTATCTGCAGCCCTTATTTAAGAATCTGGGGCTTTTAAGTCATTAAAGGCTGTTAAGCAAGGCGTGAGTGGATTACATTTTGTTTTTAAAGGAGCATTCTTTAGTGTGAGGGCTATTGGGATGAAGTGGTTCTATATCTTGATTGTAGTGATGGTTACATATGTGATAAGATTGCATAGAACTATACATACACATACACATATGTATGTGTGCATGTAAAACCAATCACATCTGAATAAAGTCTATGATTACATTAATGTCAATTGCCTGTTTGATATTGTGCTATAATTACGTAAGATGTTGCCCTTGGAGAACACTGAATGAAGAGCTCAAGGACCATTCTGTAATATATTTTGTAACTTCCTATGAAGCTATAATTATGTTAAAATAAATAGTTGAAAATAAGGAAAACAAATAAAAATTTAAATTATCAAAAATAAAGGAAGGTGGAAGACAGGGGAAAAAAGGAGAGAGAGGAAGGAGGGAAGGAAGGAAGAAAAGGAAAGAAGGAAGGAAGGAAGGAAGGAGGGAAGAAAAGGAAAGAAGGAAGGAAAGAAAGAGGGAAGGAAGGAAAGGGAAGGGAAGGGAAAGGAAAGGAAGGGAAGGGGAAGGGAATGGATGGAAGGGATGAAAGGGACGGAAGGCACAGAAGGGAAGGAAAGGAAAGAAGGGAAGGAAGGGAAGGAGGGAAGGCGGGAAGGAGGGAGGGAGGGGAAGGGGAGGAGAGGGGAAGGGGATGGGAAGGAGAGAGGAAGGGGAGGGGAGGGCAAGGGGAGGGGAGAAGGAATGGGAAAGGGAAGGGGGAAGGGGAGGGGAAGGGGAGGGGAGAGGAAGGGAGGAAGGAAGGATGAAGGTGCTGCTCTCTAAGGAAAGAATTGTTGAGGGGTGGGAGGGTACAGGAATGTAAGAATTGTTGCCAGGAAACTAGTTAGGAGGCTAATGCAGCTACCAGGAGAGATACAAGAATGATTCAACTAAGGTGGAAATTTGAGAAATGTTAAAGAAATACTTGACAGGACTTGACTATTGTTTGAATGTTGGGAATATGGGAAAGTGATGAGAAATATTCCCAAGTTTCTGACCCAAGAAACTAGGTAGATTGTAGAATACAGTGAAATTTAGATGAGGAAGACTGTCGAAGGATTGCAGGGACCACATAGGAGAAGAGGATTGCTTCTGTGTTGAGCATGCTAAAACTGAGACTATGAGACTTCTGGTGGAAATGTTGAGTGGATAGTTGAATGTATAGGTTGAAATTCAGAAGTTTCTGCTAAATAGGTGATAAGTGAAACCATGAGAATTAATGAAATTATCTAGGGAAAAGGGAATGAGCAAGTATCTAGGGGAAGAAACGAAGAGGAGAGAAGAAAGGAGAATAGAGAAAAGGGTCTACGACTGAGCTTGGAGGAGCTCAAGTCCTCCAAGATCAAAAGAAAGAACCAGCAAAGGAAAGAGAGAAGCATGGCAAGAGGTAAGAAGCAAATTGGGTGAGTATGGGGTCACAGTAACCAAAAGAAGAGGTTTCAAGAAGGAGAAGGCGGTCAGCTGTGTTTACTGCCACAGGTTCTCTAGTTTGTCGTTGCTCAATAAAGAGCCCGAGTGAGGAAATGTTGACAGATCAGGGCAAAAGCTACCCTACTAACAATAACACCCTTCAGTCATGCCATCTCCCCAAGGAAGGAAAGTCAGCACATTCCAGAGCATGACAGAACTCAGCAGCCAACTGTGCATCTGAGCTGTCTCTGTGAGGAGGGGCCGGAGGCGGTGTGTGCTGCAAGCATTTAGCGACATTCCACCAATATTTACTGAGAGCCAGCTCTGTGTCTAAGTTCTCTAAGACTCCTGTGCTGAGCTATGAAGACATTTTCTGGGATAGCTTTGGACAATGGATGGTAGCAAGTGGGTTTGGGAAATGCCTGTTGGAAGTTTCTGAAACAATCTCATGGTGTTCTCTGTGTTCCCATCTTGAGAAAGTCATCAGCCTCCTGAAGATCTTCAAACCCGAAGGAAGGGAGCTAAGCTCACACAGCCTCAAGCCCCCGATAAAATGCAGGACTAAGACGGGCCTCAGCGGCGGCTGCAGAACTCCTTCCCTCCACACTCAGGACATCACTCCAGCACAAGAGGAAAGTAGGGGAGGGAAATACTATTGTAATTTCTCAGCCAGAGAGGGTGAGACACAAAAAGTTAAGTCATCAGCAGGTGCAAAAACTGTGCCCAGAACCAAATGCTCCTGTCTGGACCACAATAACAGATTTGCTCCCGGGCCTTTCTCCAAAAACTGCAGAAATCATTTGCCAGATAAAACTGCAAGAATGAGACTTCTTACCTGCTACAAAAATTACTTCAACAATACACACTGTTAGACAAAAGGAAGTGTCTAAGGAAAGTAATAACAGCTCGTTTCTAAGGTTCACTGATAGAACTCCTTACTTTTGCCCAGAACTAATTCCTAAACACCTTGAAAGTAAAAGAATAACAAATACAGTCTTTCCAATTCAAAGGTGAAAGAAAAAAAGCGGCACATGGCTATAAGGCACCTGACTATAATTTATAATACTTACGGTCACTCGATACTTGAGGATTCCTATCTTAATCTCTTATGTAAAGT